GGCAGTTGGAGACCAGACTGGCCAACACGGAGAAACCCCGTCTCTACAAAAGATACAAAATTAGCTGGACATGGTAGCATGGGCCTGTAATCCCAGCTATTCAGAAGGCTGAGGCAGGAGAATCACTTGAACCTGGGTGGTGGAGGTTGCTGTGAGCCTAGATTGCACCATTGTTTTCCAGCCTGGGCAACAAGAGTGAACACTGTCAAAAAAAAGGGGCGGGGGGAGAGAGAGGAGAGAGAGAGAGTGAGAATGAAATAAAGAAAGGGAAGGAAGGAAAGAAGGGAAAGAACAAAAGAGAAAGAAAGAAAAAGAAAGAATTGAATGCTTGAAGATCTGTCACTATTTCCCGTCACCCTCACATGGACCATTTAGTTGCAGGAAAACAAACTTAGGGATCCTGCTGATTCTACATTATGAGGGGTTTTATAATTATTTCACTATATATTACACGTGATAATAACAGATATAAAGTGCATAACAAATGTAATGTGCTTGAATCATCCCAAAACCATCCCCCGACATCTGTGTAATACTTGTTTTCCACAAAATGGTCCCTGGTGCTGAAAAGGTTGGGGATCGCTGCTCTAGACCCACAGAGCAAATGTGGGAGCAAAATGCTGAAGAACTTTGCTGACTCTTCTCAAAGCCTCAGTTTTCTCATCTATCAAATGGCGGTAACAATCATGCCTTCATTTTAAGGTTGCTGTGAGGACTGAGGGAGAGAATTCACAAAAGTCTTTCCATTGGGTCTGACACAAAAAGAGTTAGACAGTTGTTAATTGTTGTGGCTATCATTGTTACTCAAAGACGAAAGTACCTACTCCATTTGACCCGTTTAATTCTAGATAAAAGAAGGATGGCTCTGACAGTCTAAGGAGAACTGCTTTGGAGATCAGAAAATGTTAGTGTGATGACCTTCGACATCCTGGCTATGACCCTCATTTGATCCTTGAGCCAGGATGAAACCTGGAATAGAGCCCCTGTGCCACTGGCTCCAGCTGTCGCGTCTTCCGAGTGCCCTCTTTAACGTGGCACACTCACAGCTCTCTGAGAGGTGGCTTTCCCAAAGCTGCTTGAAATTACACTTGTAACCTAGGAGTTTGATAAGCCAAGGGGTCTGGGGTTTCAATTCCTTCTGTCCTCTGCTTTTCTAACTCTCAGTAATTATCTTTGTAATGCTCTAATGCTGAATAATGATGCTGCTAATGCAGGCTGCATTTCGCGCACAGGTGCCAGCTGTTACCTCGCCGGGCAGCTGACCGCGCTGTGCACACTTAGGCGCATTCACTGAGCCCAGCCCCAGCTCACACCAACTAAACAAAGAAAGCCCCGGCCTTCCTACCGATCTACCCCGCCCCTCTCCCTCGGCCTTAAGGAGGCCCTTCTCCCTCCCTTCCCGGCCCACGCTCTCCTCCTCCGCCCCTCCCTCACTTCTTCCCCCAGCAGCCCTCCCTCCCCTTCGGTGGTTTCTTCCTGCAAGAGAAATCCAGGAAACCGCCCCCCACATTTCCTTTACCCACGATTTTCTCCAGAGCCTGACTCACACACAATTCAGCTTGATTTGGAGTTCCCTTTTCTCTGCCCCATGAGAAACCCCAGTTCTCCCATTCGTTTCTGGGAGTACAGGCTTGCCAGATAAGGTTGCTTATTTTTGAGTCTGATAATTGACCTTTCGTCATGGGGGTGGGTGGGGGGAAGCATACTGAAGACAAATTACCAAAGAACAAATGTGAGGCTGTTGGCTTTTCTCACACACACACACACACACACACACACACACACACACACAGGCGCGCACGCGCGCACACACACACACACGCACACACACACACAAACACACAAAGACCCTTTACATATTTGTCCATAGAGCAGCCTTCAGCAGACAACATCTGCAGGATGAGTCGTTTTTCCGTAACTTTAATCTCGTAATTCATTGTTTCTCTGGTGCTGGTTACAGTCGCTAAGAGGGCAGAACGGCAGGCCAATTTGTCACACAAACAAATTTAAATGTGGACCGAGGGGTTTGCCCACCTTATGATGAGTGGTTGACTTGTGACCAAAAACACAAAACAAAAACAAAACAAGAGGTGGAGTTGAGGTGGTCTGAGGGACAAGAGTTGCAGTTTCGAAACAGAGTGGAGGCTCCTTTAATCCTGACAGCCCGAATGCTGCAGGGGTCACAGCACATCTGCTCTGGAGGAAAGACAAAGGGCAAGGTGGGGCCACAGGAGCCTGCGCGGGGCTCTCGGCTGGCCGGGGGCGGCGTGCGTCGACCTGGGTGCGGGCGGAGGGGCCGGCAGCTTTGTGCGCCCCCGCCAGTGCCCGCCCGCAGCCCCACCGCAGCGTTTAACCTTGACTTCTCCCTCCTCGCTTCTGGCACGGGAGGAAAGCCGGTCCAGATGGGCGTCCTGAGTGTGACGACGTCCCCTCCCGCCCCCGCGCTCTCGCGCAGATGTCGCATGCTGCCTGGGGTCCTGCCACGCCGCCCACCTAGGCAGCGGGCCCGGTGCGCCCCGGGGTGGCGGGCACACCCCTCACCCTCTCCGCCCGCCCGCCCACCCCGACGCCCTTCGCATTCCCTTCTTCATCCCTGGCCCCTCGGACCGGAGCGCCCAGGCCAGCTCGGGGTGTTCCCACGGGGGTCTCCGGGAACAATGGTGAGCCTGTGCTCTGCCGGCTGGGGGGGCATCGTCCCCGCAGCTGGCGTGTCCCTCCCGGCTGAGCGCCCAGCCGCCCCCGCCACCCTAGTCTGGGCCACCTCGCCGGGCGCTGTGGCCAGGCCGGGCGGGGACATCTGAGGCCCCAGAGACCCGCGCTCATGGACAAGTGTCGCCCGCGCCGGGCAGGGCCGTGGAGACAGACCACGTAGTGACAGGCCGGAGGCGGCTGGAGGGATCCATAATTTATGATGTTGTTCTTACCAATCCGGTTTGGGATTTCACAAGCGTTGTCAGTTTCCTTCCCATTTGTTGCTTCCGTCTGTCCTTTTGGAGAAAACTTTTTCCCTCCCAGGATAGAAGCAGTTGCCCTCCTGAATTAATGTGATAAGAAAAGAAAAAGTGGGATTGATGGTGAAGGAAATAGGGGGAACACAGGTAAGGGGGTGGGGCTGAAAGAAAGGTTGCTTAGTCCTTTGTGTACCTTCGACCAATTTTACCCAGACCATGAAGAAAAAAGTGGCCATTCTCAGAGAGAAGGGTTGGAGGGTTCCTGCTGAGAGGTAGCAAGAGCAGATCTTCCCCACCACTACCACCCATCATCCTCCTCAATTGCAAGCAAATAAGGCCCTTGGCCCTAAGGCTTTTCTTACAGTGCTGCAGGACCCACCAAAATGAACTTGGGTCTCGAGAAAGTAAGCTGTTAATTGTTCCTCCTTGCATTGCTTCCAATCTGGGCCATCCTTGGGAGGGACCCGCCTTGAGGCACTGCAGCCTTAGTGCTCCTAACTTAGGATACATTTGCGGACCCTGGGGCAAAGGATAGTCCTGTCTTGAAAGTTCCTTAAGTTGCGTTAGTGACTGGGGAAAATTTTATGGATTTTATCAAGTTTTAGTGCAATGAATAAGTATTAGGCATAGCAAAGAGCCCTAAACCAGCTGGGGGAAGTTTTCTCTCAGGCCACCTTTCCAGGTTTTTTTTTTTTTTTTTTCTTGAAAAGAAACTTATTCCAGACCCCCTCCTTTTCTCCTTTGGGTTTGGTGTTGCTAAATGGAGCTCAGGCCGGAGAGCAGCTGTTGCCAATGCCTGCTGCGGTTGTCTCTGCAACACAAGCCTGTAAAGACTTGAGTAAGAAGAGGTTTGAAGTGAGGAGATCTCTCCCAGATGCTGCCAGTGCAGGGGCAACGGGAGGGTGGTCCCAGGCTGCTCCCATTGCTCCTGTGGGTGAGGAGGGGACAGGCCTGGGAAGAGCCGGGAGCTCCCGAGCCAGCAGCCCCTGCAGATGGCTGGGTCATTTTGTGGTTTACAAATGACCAAGTCAGGTTGAAGCCACAGTCGCTGTGGTTACAGGCACCCGTGATTAGTCACACAGTTAGTGACCCAGTTACGACACACCCTCTTTTAAAAAGGACATTATTCAACATCTTGCTAGCTTGATTTCAGAAACGGTCCCCTTATATAAGGAAAATGAAAACTGCAAGGGGTGGGGGATTGAAACCTAGGGTGTGTATTCAGGTCTGCCAGGAGTTTGGTTTGCTGAAAAGGAGCACAGGTGGGGTGTGACTTTTGTGGAAAGTAGAAGTCCACTGAACTTGGACTAGAGATTGCCTTCCAAATCCAGGTATGAGCCTTTTAGAAGGAAGTCAGAAAGGAGCCTGAGAGAGAAAGACAAGGGCCTCCTGAGCTTCGACTTGGCTCAGTGTTTGTGGCCAGCTGTGAAATGAAAGTGGGGAGTGAGGAAGGCAGGAAGGGGAAGAAGAACCCTGAATATGGAGGCTCGTGTGGGTTTTTACTTTTTAAAAATAGCATTTCTTTTACCACAATGCTGCAGGAACTTGTAAACATGAATCTCCAGCAATAGTAAACAAATTAGTCTAAGTTCTTTTATGTGCAAAGTAAGTAGAGCAAGTGTCTCTATCTCTCTATCTCTTTCACTCTCTCATTTTTTTTTTTTCACAAAGAGAAAATGCAAAACAAAAATATTCCCTCCTCTTAAAAGCTTCTTTGCTGGTGTTTGTCCAGGAACAAATAGTCTTTTATTCGAATGGTGTCCAAAAGTTCATAAGCAAAAAAAGTGCCCAACGTCTGGTCACCCACAATACAGTCTCTGGCTACATAGTGGAGCTTTTCTGTCCTGAATTTGTGATCTGCTATCAGAGTCCTTTAATTTCTCTGAACAGAAGGCTCTTTGGAAGAAGAAAGGATGGGGGTGGGGAGCAACACTGGAATCGGTCTTTTTTTTTTTTTTTTTTTTTTTCCTTTTTTGCTGTTTTCTTCCAGTCAGCAAGTAGTGCTTGGATTCTTCTGATCTTCCCTAGCATCTTCCCGAGGTGCGGGCCACGGAAGGGTTAAGGAGGCCACGGGCAGGTTTCCCTGCAGGGGTGGGGCAGCTGGGCAGGCACCACCCACCCCTGAGGCCCTTTATCTCCTTTGGAGATTTTCCTTTTACCGTGTGTTTAATGCAATCTTCAGTGATGACCGTCTTTTTAAAGCCATAGGTTTCCTTTAACTGTCGGGAGTCTACAGATATTCTCGACATTCCAAATGTAGGATCTGGCCAGATGAAAGGAAAGAGGCAACCGATTAGGGAGAAGATGGACTGTTGTTTTGAAAGATGGGTAAAAATAATGATTTGAAACTAAATTTTAATTGCTGATAAACAATCATTTTACACATTTGGCTGCTTTTTGTGGGTTGAAGCTACCGTTTCAATGATTTCAGTTTGGTACACTTTTACATCACAGCCTTGATAAAAGCTGGGTACTCTTCTATGTGCCCCGATGCAGGCAGGAACAGGGTGCCTCAAGGCCGTGCTCTCATGGAGCTTTTATGGGGTGGCAGTGGGGGCTAGGAATTAATTTTAAAAATAACTTTTGGGGGCCAGGAGCGGTGGCTCATGCCTATAATCCCAGCACTTTGGGAGGCCGAGGCAGGTGAATCACGAGGTCAAGAGACCGAGATCATCCTGGCCAACATGCTGAAACCCCATCTCTACTAAAAATACAAAAATTAGCTGGGCGTGGTGGCGCACACCTGTAAATCCCAGTTACTCAGGAGACTGAGGCAGGAAAATCGCTTGAACCCGGGAGGTGGAGGTTGCAGTGAGCTGAGATCACGCCACTGCACTCCAGCCTGGTGATAGAGCGAGACTCTGTCTAAAAAAAAAAAAAAAAAAAAAAAATGGATAGGGATAAGTGCCTTGAAGATAATCAAACAGAATAAAGAGGTTTCTCTGAGGAGTTGATATTTGAGCCAGCCATGGTGCCCCTTGAAAGAAATGGTCCAGGCAGAGATGGCACAAAGACCTGAGGCCAAGATAAGCCACGGGGAGGCCCCTGTCACCGGGCTGGGGAGAAATAGAGTGGAGAAGGGGCTCAGGGTCCCTTCACCCACAGACTCCTCTGTGCTTACCAGAGTTGGTGATTTGCACACCTCTCAGGAGTGCTGTTATTACTGTGGCTTGCCTGTATTCAGCATCTACTTGATTCAGGTCCACTTGCAAGCCAGCAACACAACCGAGAGTTCAGACCTCTTCCCTTTTATCTGCAAATCTCCTTTGCCTTGACTTTAAAGCCAGCCATATTTATTGAAAGCAGCAGAAGCAACAGAGCAAAGGAAAATAAATGGGGTCTGATGTGCGGGAGGGAGGTGGAAAGGCCTATGTCCTGGGAGCTGGCAGACTGGTGTGAGGGGCTGGGGTTGCAAAGGTTTGAGGTGAGAGATCCATGACCCATCCAATGCAGGACCAAAATTCCTCTCAGGTGAGTTTTGTGCCCACCGGAAGCAGTCGGCTCTGATGTGAGCGTGGCTTCCTTTCTTCTCTTCCTTTGATTCTCCTTGTGCTTATATGCCCCAAGGGGCCGACGTTCAGTCCCCAGATTTGCCCCAAATGTCTACCTGGAGGCCTGCAACTCTTCAATCACACTCCGTGGCCTGGGGAGTGAGTCCACAGATTTGGTTCTTCTCTCCGTGGAGTTCCTGGGAAAAGAGGTCCTCTCTCCTCCATGCTTTTTTTTTTTTTTTTAAGATGAAGTCTCGCTCTGTCGCCCAGGCTGAAGGGCAGTGGCGCAATCCTGGCTTAATGCAACTCCCACCTCCTGGGTTGAAGCGATTCTCCTACCTCAGCCTCCCAAGTAGCTGGGATTACAGTCACACCCCACCACACCTGGCTAATTTTCTTTGCATTTTTAGTAGAGATGGTGTTTCACCATGTTGGCCACATTGGTCTGGAACTCCTGACTTTAAATGATCTGCCTGCCTCAGCCTTCCAAAGTGCTCAGATTACAGGCGTGAGCCAACGTGCCTGGTCCCTGCTTCTATTTTTCCTAAACTTGGGTTCTTGATGGAAGGTTTTCCAGTCCTTGGGAAGAAAAATGTGGGAGAGGAAGAAATAAAGGAAGAGTATATGAGGCAGCAGGAAGAAAAGGAACTGGGGCCTGAGGCGGGGGTGGGAGGACTCTTCTGCCTTCATCCCCAGGCCTCCAAATTGGGGAAAGAATTGTTGTCAGTTGTAAGTAAGCTCATGCACTAAGATTGACTCTTTCTGGCCTCTTTTAAAATGGGGTGCTGTGGACACCCCAGCTGTTTGCCTCAGGCAGGTCCCCTCGTGGGGTCTCTAAATGGGTTGGCCTGCCCACCTCCTGTTCCTCTCAGGGCCTCTGCTTCCTGGCAGGGCTGCAGGGAGCTTTACACAGGGGCCCTGGGAAGTTGATTGGGAGCTAGCTGTTCTCCATCTCTGCACTATCAGCTCTCAAAGGCTCCTTGTCATGTTGAAAAGGGCCCAGAATAACAATCCTGGGGCTCTTTACAGTCAGGAAGGCTCTGGAGAAGCCACCTCTTTTGGGCAGAGACAGCTGCCAGGCAGAGGCAGGGACATGGGCCTAGAGGCCTGGGCCTCCTTTTCTCCTGCCCTCTGACTGCCACCCTCTCCTCTTCATCAGAAGAGAAGCTAGGCTTCCTATCTTTTTCAACTTCAATTCTCTTCCACGATACAGACTTCTGCTTTGTTTCATCAAGCTATCTAAAGTCACAGAAAACTGATATTCTCCTTTCCCCTACCCCCCACCCCCCATTCCAGCTTTCCCTTGATCTCCCAAGTTCCAGCTCTAAGTTCCAACACAGTGGGTCTGAGTCCTAGCTCTGCTGCTTACTGGGCATATGACCTTGATAAGCTATAGGCTTTCTTGGAGCCTCAGTTAACTCATTTGTAAAGTGAGAATAGTAGTGCCACCCATCTCATAGACTTGCTGTGAGAATCAAACAAGGTCATTGATGAAGAGTTCCTCAAAACGCCTCGCTCATGCAAAGGGCTCAAATACATGTTTGCCATTACAGCAATCAGCACTGAATCTTGCAAGCTAGCTCCTCCTTAATTGCTCTCCTCTCTTGGCCTTCATAACTTCCTATTATGCTCTGGGGTTGGACTCTGATCTCTGCTTTCTGACTTATTCCTTGAAGGTCTCCTTCCATCTTCGTCTCTGCTCTTCTTGACTTAACTGGAAGGTTCCTGTTGGCCCTATATTTGGCTCACACTGTAGAAGCTCCTTCATTCATTCCACCATCACCTCTAGAAAAGACATCTCTGGCCTTTGCCTCTTTGCATCTGGTGTCCTGAAACTTTAAGTTTCACTTGGACTTCTTGTGCCATCACCAAACCCAATCCTACTCTCACAAAACCAAATCATCATATTCCTGCTAAGCCAGAAATACTCTCTCAACTTCCAAATGTCTTGGAGCCATACTTGTTCCATCTTCTTTTGAATACTCTTCTTCTCTACCACTGTCCTCATCTACTGAGACTCTGGTCCAAAGCTTTTTTTTCATAGCTGTCTCCTTACAGCTATTTCTTTTCCAAGACTGTCAAACATGCCTAGATCCTGAACACCTCATGGCTGTGATGCTCTAGTTGCTATGTAACCAGACCCCCAGGATCTGTGCTCCTCTCTGATCACAGGATGGGCTCAGCATTGGAGATATAACAGAGCAATGCCCTGCCTGCAAGGAGTTTACAGTCAAACCAGGGAGACAATACAAATAAGCAGTGACAATGAAGATCGACAAGTGCTCTAGGTGGTCAGGCACAGACGGTCACAGGGCCACATACTAGGGGTACTTAACCTTAAGTGCAGAAGATTAGAGAAGACTTTGTGGAGGACATGAAATCTAAGTTGAGGCACAGGAGAAGAGTAAGAGCAGCTAGGTAGGGGAGGAATTCCACGCTGAGAAGCACAGGGTACACAAAAGTCCTTCAGGCAGAGAAGCATGACATGTTTGAGGAACTGAAAGCGGTTCAGCCTGGGCAGAGTGTGGGCAGGATGCTGAGACACAGGACTGGAGAGGTTACAATGAAAAGGGCCCTGGAGACCATGCACATGAGTTTTGATTTTACCCTAAAAGGAAAGCCATGGGAGGGTTTTAAATGCTGCTGCTGCTGCTGCTGGTGTGTGTGTGTGTGTGTGTGTGTGTGTGTGTGTGTGTGTGTGTGTGTATACACTGACCAGACTTGAGTATTGGCTGTTGGAAAGGAGCAAGACCAAGGCAAGGTTGTCGCCCACAGTATGGGAGGTGGTGAAGCCTGCACTAGGATGGGGAAGAGAAGCAGAAGGATGGGGACAGTATTTGAGAGGAGTTGAGATAGGTCGTATCTGGGAAGCTAAGAATGGAGGGATGAAGGGAACTCACAGGTCAGAAACATTAAAGGATGTTAGTGACATTCACTGAGTTTGGAAACATTGGGAGCACATGGAGGGAAATGGATGGATTCACTTAGTGAATATTGAGTCTCAGGTTCCTGAGAGACATCCACATGGATATGTCTTTGGGAGCACTGGGCATCATTGGCAAAGCCAGGCAGAGACTTGCTTAAGACTTGAGATTCTGAGAAAGTGTGTGTTTATTGCTTCTATAGTTTGAGATCTTTCTTTCTCTTTCTTTTCCTTCCTTCTTTCTTTTTTTTCTTTCTCTTTCTTTCTTTCTTTTTTCTTTTCTCTCTTTCTTCTTTCCTTCTTTCTTTCTTTCCTTCTTTCTCTTTCTTTCTCTTTGTTTCTTTCTTTGGTCTCACTCTGTCGTTCAGGCTGGAGTGCAGTGGCACAATCATAGCTCACTGCAGACTTGACTTCCCAGGCTCAAGTTATCTTCCCACTTCAAGTCTCCCAAGTAGCTGGGACTACAGGCACACACCACCACACTCGGCTAATGTTTTTAAAAAAATTTGGTAGACACAGGATTCCCACTATGTTACCCAGGCTGGTCTCAAACTTCTGGGCTCAAACCATCCTCCCACCTTGACCTCCCAAAGTGCTGGGATTACAGGCATGTAGTTTGAGATATTTTGATTGCAAGAAAAGAAATTCACTCAAGCTAGTTAAAATAAAATGTGATATTGTTCAAGTACACAGGCTCCATGGGAAACATTGCTCACAGGGGAGCTGTGAGAATGGGAACAGCTCTTCTGAACTACACAGGAGGACCAGGTGGCCTCTTGTTTCTCCATTTCTGCTTCCCTCCCTGCTGTGTAGGCCCATCTTCTCTGCTTATCCATGCGGTCTCCATCCTCTGTTACCTTTGCTCTCTACAGAACCGACTCCTTTCTAGTCTCGCAACTGACCTAAGATCTGAATTAAAACGCTTACTGTAGACTTTACCACAATTTATACATCTCTTTATGCAAATTTTTGAGAAGAGGGGATCTGATTGGTCACTTAGAAGTCCATAGCTCAGCAGCTTTGGGTCAGGTGACCATTCTGATCCAATCAGTGACAGTAGTGTGTGTGTTTATTGGAGGAAATTCTGTGAAAGGGTGGAATCAGACCAGTTGTTCTATAGAATAATTTTTGGTAGGACAGGATGTTACACTTATTTATTTGTCTAACTTATTAAATGTTGATTCTGCTGCTACTACATCTTTCATGTAGCAAGAGGAAAGCATAAGACACTGAATGTGAATGACCCCTTTACCAGTGAGATCTTGGGCAATTTACACATATTCTTAGAGCTTCAATTTCCTACTCTGTAAAATCAATGTCTCCTTTACCAGCAGAGGGAATTAAATGAGATAACGCTGTGACATGCCCGACAGATGGTAGGAAGCACTCATGACTGCTCCTTTCCTCCTGTTACTTCTTCTTATGCTTGTTCAAGTCACTGTTTTTTCAGAAAACAGAAATTGTACTTGTCAAGTCACATTTTTAGATTCCTATGCATGAGCATTAACAAATATTTATGGAACAATCATATATTTTATTCCATTAGCAAGCACGTAATTGTAACCACTCAATAGCATCTTGGAAAACTGAGATGAGAAAAAAATCATTTACTCATAATGCTGCCATCTAAATGAAAACATAAACGATTTTATTTATTTCTTTTTAGCTTTTCTTCTAGGCATTTTTTATTTTTACATAATAGAATCATAATTTACACATGATAAAAATGTGTTTTAAGGCTTTTTTTTTTTTTTTTTTTTTTTGAGATGGAGTCTTTCCTTGTTGCCCAGCCTGGAGTACAATGGTGGGATCTTGGCTCACTGCAACCTCTGCTGCCTGGGTTCAAGTGATTCTCCTGCCTCAGCCTCCCAAGTAGCTAGGATTACAGGAGCGTGCCACCACACCTGGGTAATTTTTTGTATCTTTAATAGAGTTGGGGTTTCAACATGTTGGCCAGGCTGGTCTCGAATTCCTGATCTTGTGATTTGCCCACCTCAGCTTTCCAAAATGCTGGGATTACAGGAGTAAGCCACCATGCCCAGCCTAAGATGTTTAAACCTAAATTATTTGCAGAATGAAAGCCATATACTTTGAACACATTTGATGTTCATAAATCTAGAATGCTGATTGGCGTCTTATTTTAATTTCCCCTGTTTCACCCAGAACATCTCAGGATGGGGAAGTATTTGGTGAGCACCATATTGGATTCTACCAAATTACAAATATGTTCCAGGTAAAAGCTATGTCCATTCAACTGCACTTTGAGATGTTGGATTTAACGTGAGGCTAATGAGGCCAAGCCATAGGTTTCATTTTCACAGGAGCCAATTAGCCTTACCAACTACTATATCCACAGATTTTACCTCCATCCTGCTTTCCCACCTTGCAAATGAGCGCCAGGGGTCATAAGGAAGATGGAAAGAGAGCACAGAGAGTGCAATGCAAATTCATACCATTACTAGACAGTAACTCAACAGCCTCATCTTCGAACCATTAGATGAACTTCTATTAGGTGAAGTTCCATTAGGTGAACCATTAGGCGAAGTTCTAGATACAGCTAGAATACAGCTAGTCCAGAAATGGCTCTTTTCAAGGATGTTAGATGTAAAAATCTCTCTAGCTTCAAATGAAACAGGGTTAAGCAGCTCTAAACAGTGATGAACACTAGAGACTTCCTTAAGCGGTAAAGTCTTTCCTTAAATAAATACCACTCAACTGGTTGGAGTTAGTAATTTTGAGAGAAGTAAATTATAGCTGCTGATTGTTCTATGTCATTAATAAGCCTTGGAGAAGATCTGGAAAGCACCTGGGAGAGGCTGGAGAAATTTGGAAATATGCTGACCATCTCAGTCTAGTCAGCCTGCTATAACCCAATCCCATAGACGGAGGGGCTTATCAACAACATACATTTATTGCTCACAGTCCTGGAGGCTGGGAACTCCAAGATCAAGGTGCAGGCAGTTCAATGGTAGGACCCTGCTTCCCGCTTCAGATGGTGTCTTCTAGCTGCATCACCTCATGGAAGGGGTGAGGAGTCTCTTTCAGGCCTCTTTTAGAAGGGCCCTAATCTCATGACCTAATTATCTCTCAAAGGTCCCACCTGCTACTACAATGGCTTTGGGGTATAAGATTTTCACGTAAGAATTTGGGGAGGACACAAACATTCCAACCATAGGACCCATTATGGTGTTTGCCAGGGACATCTTAAAGCAGACATAAATTAAAATAAATTTCATTGGAGAAAAATGCATCAGGCTCTTGGGGAAATTTCTGCAATGATACCAAATATTTGTCACTGAGCATCTGCACTGATAGCATTTACTTTCTATGCACTGATGTGCTTGCTTTTAAGGATGGCCTGACCACTCAGTCCCTACTCCCTGCAACTCCACAGAGGAGATATAAGCTGTCAGAAATATGTCTGTGAGTCTGATGAGCTCTTTCACTCAGGTGACAGGGGTTTGTGCCACATTAATATTACTCTTCTTCACCTTTTGTGTTTCAGGGCTGGGACTGGAGAAGGCAGGGATCTTGGCTCTTCAGGGTGGCTGTTCCTCAGCACTCACACATTTGCTACACTGGTTTAGTCGCACACTAGAAGGTCCATGTGTACCATGGAAGCTTTCGGGCTGTTTTTGTAGTATCTGGATTCCCACTCCCCCCATTACCCCAAGTCCTCTTTCTCTTCTTTGGAGAGGACACAGTTCAGGCTGAGAGCTCATGTGTGAGGCCTCCCTGGATTGCTGTTTGATATTGTTCTTGCTTGTTACCGCATTGGTGGCATCGAATGTCCTTATTGATTTTTGCCTGATTGGTCCAACCTGGAGCAGGATCAGCTTCATAAATGGGACATCTTGTGGGCTGAAACATGAGATTTGTTTTAACAAACCGCTCCTGACCATCATCTATTTAAGGGAAGCAAGGAAAGCCAATTGCTGAATTTCTTCTTGGCTCTCTCTGGTGATCCCTCTCACTCCTAGTTTTCCTGTTCTCTTTCAGGCTGCTTTCATCTGCTACTTACAAAACCAACAAGTAAAACAAACAAACAAAAACCCAAAACTAAACAAAAAACAACAAATGCCAAAGAATACTCACAGAACTACCAAATGATTCCCTGAGCCCCTGAATCAGAGGGAGCTGAATCATTCTGGCTGCTGAGTGCAGGGTGTTGGGAAAAAGTGCCATTGTGTAAGTTAAGGAAAGGGTCAGAAAATCCAAAAGACAGCAGATGTGTTAAACAGCTTCTGTGCTGGGATTCTCCTTTTAAGCCATCCGAAGGCACAAATCAAGAATTGCAACCTTGGAGATGTAACAAATGAACCCAATTCTGGTGTCGTGTTTTATTTTAAAGTGAAATTCCACTGTTTCCCAAGAATTTGCACATGAAGCTTTACATATTTTTCATGTCAGCCCCCTTCCCTGCCACCTTTGTTTTCCAGCCTGCCTCCCCCATAACAGCTGGACACATCACGGTTCCATTTTTCTATTGGTTGTGACTGAAGTAGCTTGAGGTCAATTATTTCCCCAGCAATTGACAAAGAATCTTGATGAAGAGGAAAGTGACATTGTCCCTTGAACAACACTGCTCCCTCCTCCCCCTGCCCTCCTGGCTGAGAGGAGAGAGCAGGGCGGACTTTCCTTTTGCAAGGAGCCCAGCAGGGCGGTGGCGGTGGGGTCTGTGGAAGTGCGTGGGTAACATATGGTAAGTGGAGAAAATATTTATATTCATGGTGAAAGAGCAGGAGAAGATCCAAAGAAGGTCATTCCACAGAGATTTCAAGAGACACTGACTTGATATTGTGTCTTTGACCTGGATACAACAGAGAATTTAAAGAAAGAGTTTGCTTTTGTTGCTTTCCTGCCACCGTTCACTCCCAACAATCCGAATTATTGGCAATTCAAAAAAGAAAATATTCCTCCCTCTACACTTGAAAGTATCACACTGGCCTTTCCCGGGGCCGGGCCAGGCTGCCACGCCTTCTCCCCTCCCTCTGCGCCTGGCCCCCAAAACCAGACTACCGAGCCGCAGTCCCTCAGCCCGTCCTGTCGGCGGTGTTTGTTGTCGTGACTGGGCGTCTAGGTGGGGTGGATCGGGCACTTGGGGCGACTGGTTCTTGGGGGAAGATATAATGAATCGGTGTTAGATTACTTTCTGATGAGACACATGAAACCTCCAGTGCTTTAGTGCTTTCAGCAGGCATTTAGCATCACAGCTTCCTACGAAAGGTAAAAGGCTCTCTTTCGGTACCCCAGTGGCCAAATTCGCAGCTGTGGGTGGGTACCACCATCAAATGCGCGCGGGGCTCCGGGACAGAGGCGTCCTCAGGTACCCTCGAACCGCCCACACGCGGACGGACGGACGGACACGTGCGCGTTTGGTTACTGGGACTAGCAGCTGCTGGCGTCCAGTCTCCAGCGCCCAGCTGCGGCCCCGCACCGAGACCCGCAGAGGAAACTCTCCATCTTGCCGTCGAAAGTTTACCCCCTTTCCCGGGTGTGCGGGAAGAGATGGCGCGAGGGCAGGAAGGCGTGAAACTGGGTTTTGCCAGAGGCCCACCGTGGCTCTTCATTCACTCTCGTTTGGGAACTGCTGGCTTTCCACTCCCCCCCCACCCCCACTCCAGTTCCCGAGGGGGAGGGAGTGAGATGGGATACAGGTGTGTCTGGGTCTCCGCTTGGGAGGGGCTCTCCCACTTCGGGACCCCTCGCGGAGCAGCCCCTAACCTAGCGGCCTGCGGCACAGAGGCCGCGCTTAATGGATTCTTGCAGATAAAAGGGCCTGGCTACCTTTCTTTCCTATAATGGCCCCTGAGGCTAATGTCTTAAAGAGGAAACAAAGGGATTGTTTTACAGCACACAAGGAGGGTGGGGGGAGGAACAGGAGGGGAGGAGGAAGGGGCAGTGGATGCGCGGAGAGGGAGGTGGCCCCCCTGCTTCTTAACCCTTCACCTCCTGCGACCGCCAGGTCCTCGGAGTCCCGCACCCTCACCCAGGACCCGAAACTGCGGGGAGGAGGCGACCGTGCGCGGAGGGCCTCGGCCTGTGACTCGACCTCCAGCTCCACTTGCCCCCTTCCCCGTCTTCTTTTTTAAAGAACTTCTGAAAGGGAGAACGGAAAAGATCAGGGGACCCGCATCTCGTGAGCTGCGGTTCTGAAAGTCAGTCCTAGAGGGGTCGCCTCTCGCGAGCCCCAGGTGCCCACGCAGGATCGACGCGTGGCAGTGCCACCGGGGCCCGGACTCTGGGACTGCTGGAGGCGGGCGCGCCTGGGGCGGAGACCCGGCGTGCGCGGAGAGCACGCGGTGAAGGCCGGGGAAGCCTGCAGCCCCGACACGCGGCCTGCACCTCGCCCTGGGAGTTGTTCCCGGGTCCCTTTTGATACAGCCTTCAGGTGTGAGTGGCGTGTGCGCCGGCCGGGGGCGTCTCTTACAGGAAGTTTACATTTGCAAACTCTGGGGGGGGGGATGGGAGGTGGAGGAGGTGGGTGTGTGTTGGGGGGTGCGAGAGAGAGGGAGGGAGAGAGACGCGGTGGCTTTGGCTTTCTGGCTTTTCTGTTCTGGCTGCAGGAAGATATCAAAACAATAGTTAAATAGCAATTGAAGACAAGTGATGTAAGAAATAAACAAGTCGACAACAAAAATGCCCACAGGGATGGTTTTTTAGAGCCTTTATTATGGAAATCATCGCACACGCACAAAAGGAGAGGGAACGGTTTAGTGTAGTGGGTCTCAAATTTGAGCAAGCAGCAGAACCGGTGAGCGAAATCCTCTGGAGGGCTTGTTAAAACAGATTGCTGGGCCCTGGCCCTGGAGTTTTCTGTTCCCTATTTTTTAGTAAATCTGGGGTCAGCTCCCTCCTGAGAATTTGCAACCTGTTAGGGCCCTCAGGGGGTGGTTCTTGTGGTTTGGAAAGGACACTTTGCCACCCACTGGTCCAAGAAGTCTCCCGTACCCTCTCCCACCTTCAATTTGCACAGCGCATCTCCACACTACTCCTTCTATCCTCTCCCACAATTTGTTTGGTTTGCTGAGAATTATGAAGCAAGTCCCAGCCACCTCTTGTCATTTCACCGATACAGACGTTTGGTGGTTACTTAAGCCGAGAGGACTGTAGGCTGGGGAGATCCTAGAAAAGCCTTTTCTGTGCTTCCAGGAAGTTCAGGCTCCCCTTCTGGTCATTTCTCAGTGGGGTGGAGTCTAATACCTCTCTCTGGGAAAGCCGTGTCTACGTCTTGGTTCTGAGACCACCCTGCAGGAGTTCCTTTCCAGCAGAGCTTGTCAGGTGCCCAAACACTGCCACTGGATCTGCTGGCAAGCTGGCCTGGCTGGTCAGGGCACCACCTGGTCCCCATCGTTCATTTTCAGGCCATTATCCCTAATCTGTCATGATGTACTCCCATGACCATTGTTTCCCCTGAAGAATTTGCCTAACAAGGCGTCTTCTCCCAGGACAGAGTTCTGAATGCCCAGTGATGGGCTGGCACCCACAACAGTGCAAGCCCATAGGATTCCTTGCATCAGTTAGGTCCAGGACTCACACTGCAAGGGAAGCTTTTCTGGGCTACTTGTCCTTCCTTATAATTCCTGATTGCAAAAGGGGCCATTTCAGGCATAGCTTCTGGGAATGGCCATCACTGACATCTGTCACAACTTCCCTTGATTGTCGGGCCCTACTGCAGCCTGGCTACGTGTTGCTTCTGTTCCAGAGAGGGGCTGAGTGCTCTTAGACTCCACCTGGCTGGGCCTAAGTGCGCAGCAGCTACGCAGTCTCCTCGCCTCTCCTTTGGGCCACTCTGAAGCAAGCTTCCCTTCTTTCCCTCCCCTCCCCATCTTGATTTAGGATACCATCTGCTCCTTCTATGACTTCCTCATCCCAGCCCCCACCCCCAGTTCTACCCCCACGTTAACCCTCGAGGTCTCTTGAGCTGTTACAAAGTATGGATTTTTTTTTTAACTGTTAGAGATGGGGTCTCACTTACTTGTTACCCAGGCTGGAGTGCAGTGGTGTGAACTCCGCTTTCTACAGCCTCAACCTCCCAGACTCAAGTGATCCTCCCACCTCAGACCCTCAAGCAGCTGGGACTACAGGCACTCACCACACACACCAGTTAATTTTTGCTTTGTTTTGTTTTTGTTTTTTGGTAAAGACAGGGTTTTGCCATGTTGCCCAGGCTAGTCTCGAACTCCTGAGCTCAGGCAATCCACCTGCCCTGGTCCCCAAAGTGCTGGGATTACAGGTGTGAGCCAATATGCCCGACCTAGACTCTTAGACTCTTGTTCCCTTTCTGTTCCTGACTCTTCGTGAAGCACACTATATGAATTCTTCATTTTTCCATCTGCTGTTAAAGAAAGCCCTGGGGATGGAGTAGCTTCCTGCCCCCCCAGAGCTCTGTTCCTATTTTCATATTGTCTCATCTTCTTATGTTTTTCTTCCTTCACCAGCCTGGAATCAGCTGTCACTTTTGTATTTTCTCTTGAGTCCTACCACTTGCCTTTGCTTTTCTAGCCTTTCTCAAAGAAATGCAAACAGCTTGTGCTTGTTCCCCTTGGGTCCTATTGTACCTACTTTTGCTTGATGGTCTCTGTCTCCCATGATGCCAGTGAATGTAGCAGTTTCTCCACTTCCACCAGTGCCCCGGGGAAAATTCGGTATCGGCAAATTTGAGTGCAGTACAAGTTCTGCCTTTTTACAGCTTGCATTGCTAGATTCAACCTTAGGAGCCTCAGTCCCCCTATTCATTCATGCGACACATCTGTATGAGCCTTTACTACATGCTAGGCGCTCTTCCAGTTGCTGGGGACATAGCACTGAGCAAAACAGACATTGTCCTGTCTTCATGGAGCTTTTATAATATATGATTGTAAACATTGTATATTTTAGCCTGAGAGACAGACAATAAGGGAAGTAAAATGGCATATTAGAAAGTGATAATGGCTGGGCCCGGTGGCTCACACCTATAATCCCAGCACTTTGGGAGGCCGAGGGGGGCGGATCACCTGAGATCGGGAGTTTGAGACCAGCTTGACCAACATGGAAAAACCCCGTCTCTACTAAAAATACAAAATTAGCTGAGAGTGGTGGTGCATGCCTGTAATCCCAGCTGCTCAGGAGGCTGAGGCAGGAGAATAGCTTGAACCTAGGAGGCGGAGGTTGCGGTGAGCTGAGATCGTGCCATTGCACTCCAGCCTGGGCAACAAGAGTGAAACTCCATCTCCAAACAAAAGAGTGATAGGCCAGG